GACAGCAGCTGGCCTTTCCCGTATAGCCGGCAGCCGGTTGGGTCTCGTCCCGGCGCCGATGGGGCTCCGCACAGCGCCCGTCGGGAGCTTCCCGCAGCCCCCGCACAGGCGCTGCCCCCGTCACTTGTCCGGGTCTGGTTTTCACTCATTAAAAACCCTTTGGTCCAGTAACAACCCGCTTCTGAAACTGATAGAACCTACCTGGATGGGGCTTTGAGCACCCTGGGCTAGTGGAGGGGGGGGGTGGAACTGGATGATCTTTAAGGGCCTTTCCAACCCAGACCATTCTATGATTCTACGTTTACTACTAAAAAAAAATAATAAAATTACTTCTTTTAAGGCTTAATTTTTATTTGTAACGTTCCGAGTGTTTTTACCTACCGGCGTATGCACAGGTGCGGATATCTTATCTTTATTTCACCGCATGTGCCAGAATGATGTTTGTATTGTGGATGGTAAATGCTGCGTGAATGCGTTTGGCTTTATATTAACAGATCTCTTTATGGTAATAGTTCTAAAGGACACCCTGGAGAAGAGAGGTGCTCTTGGACAAATAAAAGCCAGGATCAGAGCTGAAGTTTTCAACGCGCTGGATGACCAAAGTGAACCACGGCCGCCACTGTCCCATGAAAATCTCTTAATCAACGAACTGATTCGTGAATACCTGGAATATAACAAATACAAATACACAGCATCTGTTCTAACTTCAGGTATCAGGGCTGATTTTTTCTTGTCATCGCTGTATTAATAGACATTTACTCTTTGGTTGAGTAATTCCATTGATGCTATGAAATTACTACGTGGTACCGAGCTGCACAATCTTGTCTTCCCTTGGAAATAAATAAGATACAAACACTGTCTCTGCAGCTTTACTTGCAGCATTAAGCTGAACGATACCATTAGTTTGCAAGAAAACTTGCTCCTTTTAAAGGTAAATGTTTTGACAGAGCAGTTGATGCAAGAGCAAGAAAACTTGCTAGCAGCCTGCAAAATCAAAATACCTTTATTGAAGCATCTGCTTTTGTTTTGGAAAATGGCCAACAATACTTCTAAAGCATATATCACATTTTTATCTCATTGGCATTTGGGCAAAATTAAAAAACAGAAATTCTACAAATGAAAAAATTATTTAAGGAGTAATTTAAAGTAAAGTAATAGGTACATTAGGTAGTTGATAGTCTGAATTACAGCAATTCTGACAATTCATGCATATAAGCTGTATCAAAAATGTTAATGTCCTCAGCTTAAATGACAATAAATAATACAAAGAAGGTAATTTTTTTTTAACAACTGCAGTTAAGCATTACTATTACTGGCTGTGCTAAAATACCAGTATTTGAGAGCTGTTTAGACAACAACATCTAAATGGTAGATGTAATTTATATTGTACAGCACACACTTACTTTTGCAGCTATTGCTAACTTGCATTTGAAATTTGAAGTTCTGTAGCTGTGCTTAGACACAGTAATTACATTGGCTATTTAATAATTTGATAGATTTCATTCTTAAAATTACAGGCACAAAGGTTCATCTCGAGAAGAGGGAACACAGACAGTCTGTATAGCAGTTAATGTATGGAACCTGTTTGATAAAAGTACTTCTTTAGAGAAAGAGTGGTCTGCCTGATTAATTTATACTGTAAGACTTCTTTAGTTTTTTTTTTAGATTCCTTTAGATTGAAGACAAATTTGTAATATGCTATTATAAATCATATGAATATGAAACAATAATGTTTAAAGGAGTTCTGTGGAATTAAAATATACTGTTAGATATGAATAGTCTAAAAGGGAGATGCGTGCTCTCACTCTCTTTTGAAGTCTCCTGAGCAGTCTTTAAAAGTTAACTGGTGATGTTTTTCTTAACAGTCTTAAGAATTTTGGGGAAATCTCTTTTCCAGAATCTGGCCAGCCTGAAGTGCCCTTGGATAGACAGTTTCTTGCCAAAGAGCTGAACATAGTCGAAAACGCAAGTGGAAAATCAGTGTAAGTAGTGATTTCGGAATGCACAGTATATCCTGTTCTGTATATATTTTATCTTTAGTGTTACTGTAAGTCACATATAAATGTTCTCACCAACTGAAATGTGACTAGACCACATGCCTGCTCTAACACACTGGATGCAAATTCACAAAGTCAAACGTGGGGCCATTTTCAAACATTTATTTCTACCAACTCCATAGTGTTCTCCAGATAGCGTACCTGCAGACCAAAACACGTCTCATACCAGTACAATCTTCCCTACAGTCAGAAGCAGAAAACAGATATGCTCTTTGCATATCAATGAGTTGCTTTGTAGAGCAATAAAAAGATTATTGTACTCTGAGATTAGATATAAATTTACAACTGCATTAATGAGCTAGGGTACTGGAGCAGGTTTAAATACACTTAGCATTCTCTGTAGCTTGTGCTGTCAGAATCTGTCAGGTGCTTAGGAAGAAGCAAGTTTGGGATGTGCAGTGGCAGACTGGGCTACAGCCTGCCAAAGTCTGATCCTTCCTACTGCACAAGTGAGAATGTGGATCTGTATTCTTGTGCTAGGCGTGCTCCGTTCTTCACCTACAGGGGATCTGGAGCTTAGTTGGGAGCGTCTTTTAGTGCAAGCTTTTTAGGAGGGTGCTGGTGTTCAGGGTGGGCTTAGGTCTGTGCTTATTTGTATGACACTTGGCATAATGTGTTTTAAATAATTGAAGACATCGGTACATATTCTAGAAGTAAACATTAAGGTCGAAGAAGTTCTGAGGAAGGGTGGTTTTTTAATGCTCAGTATTTTATAGACTTCATAGACTGCTTTTGTTATTTCTCTCTTAAGCAGACCTTTGTTGTATGGAATTATTTCTCATTTCTTACATGGTGGTAAGGAAGAAAGTACCCAGAATACCCTTCCAAAAGTGTCTTTGCTGAATTATCCAAAGCAAAACCTTGTCAAACCACCTACTGAGAGAAATCCAAAAGGTGGGTGTGGATATGGGATCTTTTTTGCAAAGTTTTATTTGTGACTAGATTTTCTATATGATAGATATGCTTATAACGTAAACATGCAGATGGACACAGTGTACCTCCTTCTCTCTGCAAGGAATGCTTTGAACTGACACCTCTTTTGCAAGAAAAATTCTTCAGCAGAACAGTGTTCATACTTCAAAAATACCATTAAGTTGTGTGGCCTGACCATATTGTTTCATGTATTCATTTAAGAAAGGTCCTACTATAGCCAACTCAAGAAGGACCCACCCATGATTTCTAAAACAACCCATATATGTGCCTTGTTTAAATAAGTGACCAATTTACACCAACTCTTAGGCCTGCTTCTCTCTGCTGGTATGCTAATAGGACAGGATATATGGCATACAAATCCAGTTTCTCTCAGAAGTGCTTGACTGGCCTTCAAATGTGTCAGTAGTAAAATTTTCTCTCTTACGTGGGAATATATTTTATTTATAAAGCAGACATTTTTAAATATTGCAGACAGCCAAATTTGATAAATAAAATCAATAAATTTCTCAACAGTGCAAGGTACTGTGAAGCTGCTGTTACCTTGTGATAGCTGTAGCCACTTCTTACTTACTAGAGGGAAGGAGAAGAAACTTAATTGTTTAGCTTTATTCTCTTGAGGCTTTTGGATTGTTAAAAACTGAAAACTCATTTAAATTGGACAGCTGCTTTTAGAAACCGAGATTTACTGCTCTGCAGTTACACTAATATCCCAGTTCTCAGTATTGGGAAGGTCATCCACCAAATTGCTTTACCATTTTCCTAAAAGTTAAACTGGACAAATTGTCCTCCCTTATAGTGTTACAAATCTGGAATGCGTCTGTTAGAGACAGTCTTATTACATTGGCAATTTAATACAAGAATTTAACCTAAATTCTCAGTAGAAGTATGTTAAATAGTGGGTGTATCTTTGTTTCTCTTCTGTTGTAATTTGCCTAATTTCTCTAGAAAGTTCTTAACTCTTTAGCTGTCAAATTTGTATATGGGCATAAACCTTTTCCGAGGACATAATTCACATCCCATTGACTGCAGAAGCTTAAGCTCCGAGCTCATTGCTCTGTGGTAGAACACTACTAAATCTTATTTTCCCTTTCTGGTCTGCTTTTTGACAGGTTACAAGTAATACTGCCTAAGCTACAGAATCAAAGGGATCATTGGTCCAGTTTTTTCCTTCAGTGTCTGCTTGGCGTATTACTTCACTTTCTGCTATGAGAATTTAGTACTACTGTGTTAGTACTATCAACTATTTATTTGTATCTAAACATTTGAAAAATATGAGGCCTGAGATATTATTGACATCTAAAAAGTGTGAGAGAAGTACTAAACACCTTTACACTTAATTAATTGAGACAATGCTGTTTCCCTTCTGCCAGAAGGGGGGGCTGAAGAAATAAAGTTTCGATACCAAAACTGCTATGAATGATCTCTTTGTTAGAAAGTAATTATTCCCATTAGGAATTTCTCAATTTTTTTGAAAACAAATTCAGTGTATAGAAGAAGTGTATACTTGTTTTTAATAGTATAACTTTCTACCTCAGTTCTGAAATTAACTCTGTGCAGGGTCACCTTGCCCTCTTGACTCCAATATAATTTCACATGGGGATTTAATTGTTCAGAGTTAGTTACAAAACTGAGGATTAATCATAAGACATGACACCACATTGCTTTTTGAACTAAACAAAAATTTAATAGCTTTAAGGCTTTTAACCTTTAAGTAACTATAGTCTGAAATTACTTTCTGTGTTTGGAGTACGTCAGTGGAGACTTAAAGGCAATGGATTTAAAATACTAATTATCTAGCTATTTTAATGAGACTGCATATTAAGGTAATAAAATCTATTCATAAACTCAACCCTCCAAGTCTCATATTTAACATCTAACTTGCTTTTTATATTAGAAATTATCTTGCTTATTTAGTTGAATGGATATTCCAAAAAACTGGTATACAGACTGGGAATCCTGATAAAATATGTGGAATCTCCTGTTTGTTAGTTCGTTCACTATAGCTGAGTTGAAGTTGCCCAAAATCTAGTCTTTAGTAAATGCAAAGCTCTTATCTCATACAGTTGCATGAAAAAAATATATTTGTAAAATTGCCTGAGCTTCCTATGATGATATTCTGTATCAAAGCTGATAATAGTAGAAAATAACACTTAGACCTTTGGGTCACCAGATGTGTGAGAATATTTATGTCTGTGTTTCATTTTCAGATAGAATTCCAGAACCAGGAAGGATGGCTGGCACGAGCATCGAAGAGCCCCTTGTTTTACAAAGTATAAACAGATGAAGTCTTCCATATGCTGATTTCTCATGTAAAGTTCTTTAGGAGCTGATTTAGGAAATTCTTCTTTCCATAGATCTCCCCACTATGTCCAGTGGGACCATTTCAGCTTTTAGATCTACCCATGAGACAGGATAATGGGGTTGTACGTATTGTCAAGGAGCAAAGGCCTGATTCCTCCAGTGCTGACAGAGGAAAAGCTGTATATGAAGTCAGAGCAGTGAAGCCCATGTCTAGGATTGGGCCTAAAATTACTGGTTTTACTTTATAAAAATTTATCAGATAACTTATCATTTCTGCACTTTGCTTATTGTTTTATGTCTTTGTGTGTCTTTCCCGTGTTTCTGAATAAAATTTTTCACTTTTATTCTGTGTGGTATTTTGAAAGCATTCCAACTAAGTATTTTAATCATTCTCTTTAAAAGCAGAAGCTGCTACTTTCAGATAAGTATGGGAAAAAAAATTTGAATAGAAAATTTAAGTGCTTTAGAGGAATAGTTGTTTTTAATTCTCCGGAAATGAGGGCTATATTTATCTTCATGCCAACAAACAGACGAGGGTAAGTCTTTTCCATCTGGAGTTGCTATAAATTGTACGGTGTAACACTCAGTATATGGGAGGGAGAGGAACTTCTGTTTTTTTCCCAAACGACATGAAACTCAAAGTCAAGCAAAGCTAAAAATACAGTTTATAGATTACTGATTCCCATAACTTTTTTTTAGCTGAGGTATTTACACATTTTGAAATTGTAATTATTTTAAAAGCCAAATTTACAGGGGTACATAAAAAAAATAACAGGTTATCTCTTTTACTACTCATTTTAACAAAATATATAATGTTAATGTTTCCACTACTGAGGAGTTTTGTGTAAATAAATTTTTAGGGTTGTATCCTTAATTGTTGGATAAATGGTACTGTAAGTGCGGAAAAAAGAGGAAGAGAACATGCAGTTTGTGAATTTAAGTGAAAGGACCCTAAGTTGTACAGACTGCAAAGTTTTGCCTTAATCTTGATTTGACCCAGTTAGCATTACAGGTATTTTTTTTATTTTGATGAGCAGCCTAGCCTCCACCGTAATGTGAAATTGCAGAGAACAGTTGTGGGTTGAAAGGAGAAGCTGCATTTATCCATTTGAAGTCTTAGCAGTGAGCTCATCCCCTTCGTGTGACTGGCAACGCTGCCAGCTTCCCATGTGCTGATTTATAGGTATCACAGGACTGCTTCCAGGAGGGAAGGACAAATATACTTCAATCACATCCATCTTCAAGTCTTTTGTAGCTTTGCGTCAATTATAATTGACCATGGGGTCAAGCAAACAGATTTATCTCTGTACACGCTCACTGTTTGCTCTGTGCTAACTCCATTGGCAGGTTCAGCTGCTTGGCTAAAGAGCCGTCTGGGGTAAAACCTACCACCCAGGGATTCTGCCTGTTACTGGGCTCTTCTTCCCTGCCACATTAATGCAAATATTCACAACCACTGATCTCTCAGTGTCTCTGTCTAAAAATACAGTAGAAAAATGGTTTTCTAAGCTGTTATTTGCAAATTACCTTCATTTTGTAATGAGCTGAAAGCACCTCTATGGAAAGTTGCAAAAATTAACTTTTGAACAATGCAGATATGATTGCTCTGGCCACAGACATCCCCGAATTTTTACCTTTGGTTTTCCAGAAGTTAAATGCTAGACCCCTGTGTCTCTGTAACCCAGTGGGTCAAATTGTTTATATTTGGAATCTGAATTGTATTTTAAAGGGCAAGGAAAAAGCCTCTGGGAAACACAGAAGCTCTAACCCTCTACGCTGTGCAAATCTTCCCGTGTAACCAAAGCCATTGCGTCTGCTTTCTGTCCCACCATAGATCATACAGAAGCTGCCCAGGTGCCACGGAGCCCCCTGAGAAATTGAGTTTTAGTGGTAGAAATTAAATACAATTTTTTGTTCTGGTTGAAGAAGGCAAAGGGATGTTTGGTACTTGCCCCTTCCCAAGCACACAGCTCAGCCGGCTCGTGGTCTCCCCAGCCATGAAAGCGGAGGCGGTTACAGGGGTGTACTTCACTGAGCTTTGGTGTAAAGGTGTGCACCTGAAATCAGAGAAGAAATTCATTTAAGACAGGAAATCTTGAGACTATTTCCTTGGGGATTGCAACTTCAGCCTATTGTCGGGATCCTGCACTGGGACGGTGGGTGGGCACTGGCCTGTTTGCTCTCAGTGCAAGATACATTTCATCTAATTTTCCAGTACCCTCCCGGTACAGATCTGTGGTTTTGGAGCAATCTCTTGTTTCAAAGTATAGTCATTGTACAAGCAAATGAAAATAAACGTGCTATTTATTTGTACAACAAAGCTTTGAAATATGTCTATGGAACATTATTAATGGTCTAGCATTTATCCTGACAGTACGTGAAATACGAGAGCATCTTGCAAGCTGCAGACATGTAGCGAGTCCTGTGAATGTCAGGCTGCCTTACTTGTTAATGGATGAAAAGGAATTGCAAAGCCTCTACAACACGGCTGCACTTTCCAAAAAATCATTCCTTAAAAGTTTAAGGTAAGCAAGGTAAGGATGTAGATGAAAATAATTCACAATCCTAGAGTCACAGGTTCAGTTTTTTGACAAAATTGCCACCTAGGTGAGCATGCACAAGGATTACTTTCTCAAATAATTTAAGCAGCTCCATCTACCTTAATTACAGACTGATGTCTTTCATTAACTGCCCTTACTCTTTCTACCGATGTCAAAAAATCAAGAAAAAAAAAAAAAGAGCACGTAGAAGTTTGGGAGTTTTAATGAGCAAAATGCATTTCTGAATTTTATTGGAGATAGAACGCTGTAACCGAGACTGTTGTGGAGGGAATTACCTTAAAAGAGGCTGTTCTTTGTCTAAGCATGGTATCACAAGTGAAGGTGACAAGGAGCCAGTGCCGTTTGGTGTGGATATCAGATTTGGAAAGCACTTTGGAAGAACTTAACTCACAAAGTCTTTAAAAAAAAACCAAAAACCTTTCAAACCAAATTTTTGCTCTCCCCCAGAATCAGAGGAAACTATGTTTATAGACTCTGCTTCAGAGGTATTAGTTTCTGTCATGCACAGGGGAATTTTTTTTCTAAGCTTTATCAACACGTTCCAGAGAGCTGGTTACGCTTTCCTTCCTGAGCGCCCGTTGTAACAAGCTGAATCTCGGTGTCAGTTGATCAGTTTTCCGGAGGACTGATTATCATTGGGTGATTATGTCTAGGAAAAGAAACCCCAAAATATTTGTTCATGCTTGCAAAGACACCCTTTCAGTAGCAGCTGGTGTCCAGCTCATTTGGAAGGGTATGCTTCACATACTTCACTTGACCTGCAGCCAGCATTAAGCACAAAGCTTAACGTGAAGCAGTTGGTGACTATTTTACCTCGTCAGAGTACTCTCGTGATTAATTGTCCTACATTGGGCGCAGGCCGTCCCTCCTGTTGCCCGAGCGCAGCTCAGCCCAGGTGGTAACCCACCGGTACCTGGTCAGTGCCAACTATGGCTGTCAGCTGAGAGAAACATGGTTGGGAAACTTTGGGTAAAAACATTTTTAGATTAAAAAAATTGCTCACCTGACATTTGTATTTAACAGACTAACATCACCATCCATGCTCTTCTTTTTTCCCCTCACTTGTATTCCAGTTACACCGTGGTAAGGCAGCTGAAAGTTCATTTCTTTCCTTCCTGAGCCCTCTATTTTCTTCCAAGTGCAATATTTACAGTGCAAATTGAGCAGGGAGATATTTTAAGGGCAGGCTGCTCAATACATTATTTTTTCTAGGAAAGTAATTAAACAAATAAATCAGGGGGAATAAATAAAGCTTATTTGTTGTCACAAAGGCATTGTCCACTGGGAATACACAGCTTTCATTTTGAGGCAACTTCGGTTTAAAAAAATACCACAACGTTTAGGGAAGTCCAACCAGGCTATTATATTAGTATATTTTTACATTAACTTTTAAGTGAAGGTTGGGAGCCATGCTTACACTTATTAGTTCCTACCCCACATGGCTGGAAAGTGCTTCAGCCCCAGCAGTAATACTTTTTAGATTTTCCAGCTCCGTTTAACGTCACATCATATATCACCCTCCACCGCGGCCTCTGTTAAACACACCGCTCGGGCAGCCAGCCTGCCTGTGCACATGCAGCGGTTTGCAAACCAGCCAGAATAATTTCCACTCCTTTTTAAGCTACTATTAAAATGTGTCTGGTTTTGTGAAACAGCTGCATGGGTTTAAAAGGAACTTCTTAGGATAACTTTGATGAATGCGAAAATGATAATACTTTTCAGAGGATCCCCTTGCATTTCATTATTTTATATTCATTATATTCCTATTTAAAAGCTAAGTTTGCAACTGAGAAACTGCAAAAAAATAGGGTGACCTACTCTGTGAGGGACTTCCTGCTAACAAGGGCAAGTTTCTTGGATTTATGTCCTGGCGATCATTTCCCTTGGCTTTGCTCCAACACAGTCACACCTGCACGAGTCTGATATGACACTGCTGCCTTTCAGGTCCTGGGAGGGCTTTGCATGGCCGCCCTGCACCCCAGTGGGCACCAACCTGCCATCTGGGAGGACAGGCTGGGACTGTGCGACTGTGTCGGCAAATCTGGTCTTCTCCAGCTGAGGCCTGAAGATGAGTCCATACCAAACGTTTATGAAAAGTTGCAGGGAAGAAACCCCCATGCTCTTTCCCTCTCTCCTGTTTACCCAAATCTCTTCACTGCCAGCCAGAGCTAGAAGAAGGGTCTACAGGTCTGTCACACCTGCAAGCACTGGTACCTTGACCAAGTGACAGCAGAGGTTTTCAGCCCAGCCTCCCTTCATAGGTATTTTTTTAGGATGCCGAGGCCAATGTGAACCTCATCCATCTTTTCCAGGAGCCTTTATTTTCCAGAGAAGACACGGCTGTTGATGTCAAGAGAAATTATTTCACCCAGGACCATGCTCCGATCCTTTGGGTATACACCATATTTAGTCTGTTGCTGAG